GATCCTTTAGACCAAGATGACAAAAGCTGTAGAATTGATTCTTACCAAAGGAGCTCCCCATCCTGAAAGAATAGGGTTGACTGAAACCTCACCTCTTCTCAGAGGAAGCAGGTTTCAACCTTTGTCCGCTGCTTCCTAGGAGGTAAGCTTTTATAAGGTTGTTGCTATGCTACCCTTGCCATCTTTACATAATAGTCATGGCAAGATAAATGCACAACGCACATCTCTTATCCGAGTCTGCTTTGTCTTTTAGAGACTTGCCCAGAAAGAGCATTGTTCTATCACCAAAATCTTGAAAAGAATGGGATACACTGTATCACACAAGATGAAGGTTGAGATTTTCAAAAATGATAAAATCGCTAGAAAATTTCATAGATCCATCTCAAGAGAAGATGCACTGTCTCCTTGTATTTCTGCCAAGCTCTGTCTTGGACATCGTATGGTTACTACTGACAGCAACAGTACTACAACCTCCTTGAAGCCCACAGAACGTAAGTCAGCCAAATCTCATCGGGGTCCAAGAAGACCACTAGTCACTGTGAGTGAAAAGCCTCCAGGAACAATTAATGACAAAAGATCACTCATTACCCTATATGATCAGCACTCTAGGGACCAAAATTCCTCCCGAAAAACTGATGTTACCAATGAGACATCCCATATCAAAACATCAAAAGCAAAGGAGAAGTCGTGGAGACCTTCAGTCGCCGGACCCTATACTACGAGAGAAGTCAAGTGGCCACCTCCATGAGAAGGATTATAAGTCCAAGGTTCCAACTGCCAGTACCACATAGTAGTTCCAACTGAGCTAGGACGACTGATCAAATGTAAGTGCAATATGTAAAATGAAACATATAAATCACACATAATTGGCCAATCAATATGCATATGTCTTGGTTGACTAGTATCAAACAACCAATTCACCTAGCATGAGCGACCAAACCCATGGTGACACCACATACAAGGCATACACATAAATGACCAATCTAGAGACGTATGGCCGAGATGACCAGTGTCATTTGGCTAATGAAATCATCAGGAGATGAATGATCAATCAAGTTGAATGATGTCGAGTGGTTGATTATACCTGCCTCCTATGGGTGACCAAACCCATGAGCATGAAAACATACAATGCAATATACAAGATGAAATACATACCCATCACGACGTACAACATGACATGATGCAAGTGATCACAATCAATAACGAGCCAAAATCAACTAAGTTTCTCACACAGGTTGCTAAGGTTTTAGCTTTTGGATATGAGGCATAGTCGCCTCCGGCTCTGGCGAGGAATGTGGAGAACTTCATCATCTAATTTCTTATATGTGAAGTCCTTCATCACTTGTAGAACATACTAGCTACAAAGCTTTATCCATCCTACAACCCCTCCACGATCTTGTAGAAGTTAGCTACAAAGCTTTCCCCATTTTGCAAGATCTAACTATTATATTCCCTTCAAGGAAGGTTGGAAACCCCAAAGTCATAGAAAATTAGGATTCCAACTCGTTAGGATGTAGATCTAGGGCTTAAAAGGAGACATCACTCGAATTCGTAAAGGATTTGACCACAAATGTGCTTCCTAACCTAGGGAATTCTCTAGGAAATCAATAACTTTAACCTAGTATTCTCTACAAACATCTTAGGGTTGACTAAGAAAGAAAATGCAAAGGGCTTTAGGGAATCTCCCCACTATGTTGGTTGATTGACGTCCCAAGCTTGTGTCTCAGATGAAACTCTCCTAGCTGTAGGAGAGATTTGCAGCTCCAGCGAGATTCCAAATAAGTTATGAGCTACGGTGAAGTTCCAACGATGCGCTGATGATCTTTCCTCAAGATAGGATGAAGCTATCTTTTAATGTAGGAGAAGAGACACCTTGCTCCCTATTTAGCCAAGCTCCTCCTTAGAAAGATCTCCTCACACACTCAAAGGATGGAGGAGGAAGAAGAAGAAGATCTTTTGGCAAAGGAAGGAGGAGAAGAGGATGAAGAAGAATAGGATTGTGAGAAGAAAGCCCTCACTCTCACCTTTCTCTCAAGCTCTTCTCCTCAAGGAAGCTCCCAAGCTTTCTCTAGCAAGAAGAGGAAGAAGGAAGGAGCTCCAAGCTTTTACTCTCTAGGAATAAGATGACCAACACTTGAAGGAGGCAAGAAATGCTGAGCTCTTGCAAATGGAGGACCTTAAGGGAGATAAGCCATTTAGTCCTCTCTACTCCCCCTTAATTTGTCAAAAATGGCCTTCCCGCCTCATCATATAAGCCTCCAAAAGAGGTATAATTACCTCTTTTATCTCCCTCCTAAACAAATACTCTCAAAGCCCAAGATGATCCCTTTTTTGGCTACCAAGAGGATGCACTGGGGTTAAATCACACTCAAAATCATGATCTGGAACTAGACTAGCGCCTAGGTGTTGCGACCCTAGCTCCTTGGTGCCAGTAGGCTGGCTCTTACTTTCTCGAGACTCAGAAAATGACCATTTGAAGGGGTTTTTTTAGCGCCTAGGCGCCCAGGATCAACGCTTACATGTCCAATTTGGCACCTAGGCACCTGTAGGCTGGCACCTATTTTCCCATGGCTCGGTTTGGAGGCTTCAGAGGCAGTTTTGGGTGCCAAGGCGTCGGTCTGGCTCGAATACCCTAATTTTGGCGTAGATTGTCCAACTGGAGGTTTTCTCGATCCGAAAGCTATGAAATACCAAATATAGTAAATTATGATCCCCTAAATTTAAAAATAAGTATTTTGCTTGTTCACTGATCGAAGAATTTGTCACCAACATACATTCTGAACTACGATATGTGTAATGTGTTCTAAATTCTAATTTTTTCATAATGTGCGTAGGAGGGCTCCGTGACTTCCCTTGACTCTGGGGGGCTCTGGATGGATACAAAGGGGGCGTAGGAGGGCTCCGTGACTTCCCTTGACTCTGGGCTCTGGATGGATACAAAGGGATCCCTAAACACCATAATGGACATCAAACACGTCAAATGTCCGGGGTGAGTCAATCCAATCACGGGTTCTCTCGGGGAGGTCGAATCATCACAAACCCTGGTTTCATGCCCCGAGCACATACCAGATGTCTCAGATGAGTGCCTTGAGCTACCAGGTGCCATGAGTGAGCAATGAATCATCCCAAGACAGTCATGTGAATACCCTACACTTGACATCAAAAATTAATGCTAGTACTGGATCTCCAAAATAACCGCTTTTGTGTCGAACCGTTCGACATCCCTTTTAATCAAAAGTTGGACCAGACAACGACGAATAACCACTTCAGTGAGGCATGAAGTTCCGCTATTAACATAGGCAAAGCCCCAATCTTATCTTGGACGATGTGTGTTGCTGTTGCTAGCACCACTAGAGCCATCACTATAATGTTATTTATCAATGAGGTGGTCAAGCCAGTAGAGCAGAGAGGAATGATGAGTTGGATGATTTCGTACCCATACATGTGGCTTATTGTAGGAGCACAGTCGCGGACAAGTGAGGAGGGGGTTGAGATTGGCATCACTTCGACACTAGAGGGAAAAACGAGGAGAGGCAAAGCAACGAAGGTTCCTTTACTATGACATCGACATTGGCTTTGATGAGGGTTGGGAATGAGGTATATGGTCCTGATGCTACTTCAAAATTATTCTTGAAGAAGCATTCTATTACAATTGAAAGCTTGGAAGCTTCGTAAGTTTTATTCATGTTTTTTCATAAGGACATATTATGCAATTTTCACTTAGGGTTGTTAATTTTTCATGCTATAATTTGTTATTTAGTGGCATTTATCTCCAAGATTTTGTTGGTTTATATCATTTAGGTCATAATTAATTAATATTTTTTATTTATTACATTATTCGTTTAAACTCTCAGTTCCACCATAATCGTATAAGTGAATCGAAGATTTTCTTATCCCAACTCTTTCATTTGAGCAAAGCAACCCAAGTCTCCCTCTATAAAGCCTTAGCTTTCCGTATCTTATCTGGATTTTTTCTTTTTCATATCTTTCTCTTCTATCTATATTTTGTATTGACGACATGCTTTAAAAAGTATGTGATCTAATATTAACATTTTGAAGGTGATAATAACTATAACTATATAATCATATCGAACAATAAAAAAGTTGTCAGAAAAATAATAAAAATAGTCTGAGCCCTAAGAAGGAAACAACAATAAAAATTGGATGTACACGAACATGCGTAGGTAAGAAAAAATGAAGAATAGTCCTATGAGTTTGAATATTTAAGAAAAAAAAATAATTTCCTAAAAAAGAGAATTTTAAATACATAGAACACATTTTTTATGTTTTTACTTATCTCATACATAAAGATTCATATTTACATGCACAATATTTTGATATTTTAAAGTGGATTTCACTTTTAAAAAGTGATACTTATGATATTATATTAAGAATTTGAATATATATATATGTATGTAAATATGTTAGGGTAGTTGTGAAATATGTACAAACAGAAAATTTGGCCCGCCCTAGTGTTTTTAATGTTTAATGTCACCTGCCCACAAAAAAGCTATAATGGCTCAATTAAATTCAGCCTAATAAAACTAGGCGTGGCTCACTTGCTCTCACCTTCGTAGTCTTCAGGCAATTTTGCTGTATAAAACTTGGATAAAAAGATTGGATTTGGACTCTTCGTAATTAGAATTACGTGTGGAGTCCAATTGAATTATGTTCGTAGAGGTGACACAGGAAAAAAAATTGGTCCCGTAACACGGGAAATATTCTCCTGTGTTATTCTGTGTTATTCAGGTGTTATTATATTCTAGGAATATTCCTGATATTATAATAGCACAATAATATATCAATAACACTTAAATAATACATAATGGCATCTGAGTAATACACAATAACATTTGAATAACACGAAATAAATATTCCATTGTATTACCAGACAAATCTTATTTTTTTTTCTGTCACCGCTACGTGACATGATTTTATTAAATTTCGCCGTAATTTTATTGGACTCTGCAAGTAACTCTAAGTGCATAGTCCAAATCCAATATTTTCTCATAAAACTTGTCATCTTGTTTTGGGCATTCAGTTTCCTCCTTTCTGCTGGTGTTTATTTTCTTTTGTAGCTAAGAGGCTGAGATTCCTGTCATTTTGGCGACCTTTTAGGGCTTCCACGCGCCTTCTTAGCATCTTCTGTCGTTGGGGAGCATTTTGAACTTCGGATCTGCTAGAGTGGTGTAAGTTTAAGCTAGTACGGGTCAGGGGCGAGCAATTCGCTTTGTGTTTTGAGATGTTTGATCAGTTGTTGGAGTTTGTGCAGTTTTATTGTTTCACTAATTTGGCTGGAAGTTAGGGTGGATTCATCTTTTAAGCTACTTCAAGTACGGTGGATTCGTTTTGATTTGGTCGACGCGGAGTGCGGAGTTGGGTGGCTCGAAAAATTTGGGGTGAATTATTTCGTATCGCAGTTTTGGAGCTGGATTTGGGGCCCATTGCCTTTTTGAGGGTTTAGGGTGAGAATGCGGAGCTTCTTCATAATCAGCCGTTACTTTTAGAAGTTGGAATGATGTTTTATGTTGGCATTTTTAAAGTTTAGAGCGCTACAGCCTCTGGAGTTAAGGTTCCGGCTTTTATTGGCAGCTTTTTTTTTATCAATTCGTGCTTTATGGTATTTGAACAATGTCTGGTCGAGCTTGGGTTGTTTAACAGTTGCAGGAGGTTTTTGGGGCTTAGGCCTGCATATTTGGAGGAGTTACATATTTCGTCCTCCTAGTTTGGTGGACGATGGAGATGTCATGAGTGTGACCTGTTTCAGGACTTTGATTTATGGTGGTTAAGAAGTTTTTGTTGCAAGTTGTTTGCATTTCAGCGCTACTATGTTCATTAGAGGTTTGTGATATTAATGCTTTAAGAGGTATCATAAGCCGGCAACACCTCCAGGTGGGCTGGCTGTGCTGAATGAAGATGATCGACCAATTTATTAACTTTGTTGTCCGGCCTCCGAGGTAACCATCTTAGTGAGGTGGCTTCTGTCATTAATTTAATTATATTTTTTTTGCCGCTTTGAGCCATATTCTATAATTTCTTCGTATATGATAGTCCATTGTGAGGTGGCTTCAGTCATCATTTCATTTTCTAATTAACATTTTAACTAGTTAGAAATCGTCAAGCCACAGTTTGAGCTTAATATTCAAGTAGAAGTGTATTCATCAATTATACAACTAAAGTTAATTGGTAAGGACTATTATTATTATTAAATTAGGAACTCTACTCTTTCACAATTTTGCTGTGAGACTATATTTCACTCTCATGTGTATGACAATAACAACTCTTTATATGAGAATCCTCTACATTGGTCGACACTCACTCAAATGGAAGGTTTTCAATATCATCATTAAAACTCATCTAACATGTGTGGGAATCATCACAAACTCTTTTGAACCATATTTGACTAGTAGCAGCCAACCAAGATCTAAAGTATAATGAACTTGCCTCTACTAGATGAGTTATTCTCTACGTTACCAATTTAACTTATACTTAGCTAAATCTCATGGTTATTTTTTTTTGGTGCTTATTTCTAAGAGACCATCAATCGTAAGAGTGCTCTCTTACAAGCACATTTTGTTAAAGCTTTTAAAGGAACTCTACCAATTTAACCAAACGATGCTTTACATATAGATATGAACTTATCCTATTATTTCGTGCAATTTCATTCATTCAGGTCCCTAGTAGCTTAAATTTGTGATATCACATTAAAGAGCCACAAACTGCATTGCACGCTAAACCATAGCTGAAACATCAACTTTGATATTACTTGTTTGGTGAATGAAATAGGTCATTAAGTTAAGCAACTAAATTAGCAAATGGACACCATTAATTCATTTTAAGCTAAGGTTTGAAGGACATTACTAGTGCTATTTTTTTATTTTTAAGGTGAACTATTCTTGTCTCCTCATCATTACTTTCTGAAAATGGATGTTATCTATTTTATAAATTTTGCTTTGTAAATAATGGAGGGACTCTTTACTTTTTGTGTAAATAGTTTTTCATTTCCTTTTATAACGTCTGCCACTTTATTTGACCATCAACTATTGATAAAGTCAAACTACCACTACTACAATAATAGAACAATGAATGGATTGTAGGCAATTTGGCTCTACTTGCATTTATATTTTCTTGCAAAAGGACTAATTTAATTTATTTGCAATCATTTATTTTCCATTAGATCAATGTAATTTTTTTTATACTTTTAGGGAGAAAGAATAAAGGAAAGAACATTTTGGAATGCAAAAGATTGATTTTTTTTGTTACTCATAAAATATCTAAAAAACCTTGGCAATATTTCTTATAATATTCCTAAATGCAAAGTTTATTTGTGGTGTTATCACATAATTCCATACCCTTTTTTAGTTATCTTTCCCTACTTTTATAACTAAAGCTAAAAGGGAAAATGCATGGGACCTTTAAAGTTTAACATCGGTTAAACTTTGATATAAGTTCTTTTTTGAGGTATTTTGATATACTTTTAGTTAGAATAAGGCTACGAGTTAACACAACTAGGCAACACCTTCGAAACTAAGGCTTTATTTTGATCATGTTGTGTCGCTATAATTGTGTTGTAAAAAAGCCATTATTTCTATAGATTATGGAAAAGATTATTATTTTTCGCTCTAAGTCGTATATTACTCATTGCCACATATATATAATACTGAAAGAAAATGAAATAGGAATCCATTGAAAATAAGAAAAAAAATCTAATAATGGAAATACAATTAGTGAAATATATTATTAGAGAAGGAAATAAATTTCTTCCTAAGATGGATTGACAATTTTCAATACTCTCCCTCAAGCTGGGTTGTATATATTGTACAATCTAAGTTTTGGCTTCAGTTCATCATGATTGACCTCTTATAATGCTTTGATAAGAATATCAATAGTCTGATGTCGTATAGGTACATAACTGAGCTGAACAGTTTCATTGTTAACCTTTTCTGAGATGAAGTGTCGATCAATCTCAATTTGTTTTATTCTGTCATGATGCACATGATATTTGACTATACTAATAGCTGCTTGGATATTAGTGAACATCTTATTTGTCTTTCATCTTAATCTTATGTTCTTTTAAAAACCTTTGAATCCATATTTCCTCGCATATTTCTAGCGCAAGAGCGTGATATTCAAAATTTGTACTACTTCGAGAGACAACAATTTGCTTTTTGCTTCACCAAATGATGAGAATCCCGTAGACATATGAACAATATTGATTGTTCAATTTCTTATCACCTTTCCTTCCCAGCTAGCATTTGTGTATATCTCAATCGTACAGTTTTTAGATCTTTTGGAAATTCATTTTCAAGTATTTCAGAATTTTATTTATAGCCTCCTAATGATCTTTATTTGAATTATTCATGTGTTGGCTTATTATACTAACCGAGTATTCAATATCAGGTTTTGTGTATGATAGGTAAAATAGTTTCCCCATAAGTCTTTGATATCTTCCTTTGTTAACCGGATTGCTTTCTTCACTTCTGTTCAATCTTTTGTTAGAATTCATAGGCGTGTCAGCAGGTTTGCACCCAAGCTTATTAGTTTTACTTAACATGTTTAAGATGTATTTCTTTTGGGATATGACAATTATCTCCTTAGACCGAGCCATCTCCATTCCCAGAAAATATTGGAAATTTCTGAGATCCTTGATCTCAAATTTGTTGTAAGTATCAATTTTTGTCTGATAATTTTCTTTGAATCATCACCTGTCACGGTAATATTATCTACTTATACTATGAGAACAACAATTTTGCCTATAGAATCAGATTTAACAAATAGTGTATGCTTAACTTGACACTGATGATATGTATATGTGATCACTATTTTAGCAAACCTGTCAAATCAAGTATCAGGAGAAGGCTTCAAGATGTTCAAGGACTTCTTCAACTTGCAAGACAACCTGCTATTCGACTTATTTTCCAAGGTCAGAGGTATAGTCATATAGACTTCTTCGTCAAGGTTGTCATTCAAGAAGGTATTTTTGACATCAAGCTGGTATAAACGTCAAATTTGATTAACTGCAAGAGAGTACAACCTGGACCGTATTAAGTTTGACATATGCAAATGTTACTTGATATTCAATCTCACATGGCGTGAAGCTTTTGACAACCAGTCTAACTTTTAAACTCTCTACACTTTCATCTGCTTTGTATGACCGTGAATATCCATTGGCAACCTACATGTTTTTTTTTCATGAGGTAACTCTATAAGTGTCTATCTGTTATTCTTTTCAAGCGCCTGAATTTCTTCCTTAATTGTTTGTTTCCATGCTGGAACCTTTAAGCATTTTAGACAGAGTTGGGAACTTGCACACTATCAAGGCTTATCACAAAAGCCTTGTAAGATGGTAGCAAATTCCCATAAACTGTATATCTTTCAATTGAATGATCAGTGTACTCTCATATACATTTCCTATATGCAATTAGTTGATTAAAGTCATCATCCATTGTTGTAAGAGAGTCATGAGTTGATGAATCCATACAATTATGATTATCAAGACTTTGTTTTGGCTCTTGATAGTTTTGAGTTTGCATAGTGTTCTCTATATACTCAATGATCCTTCTTCTGTTATAGACACGAAATTCCTGATCATTGGTTTCATATTGAAGTGGAGTAGAGAATTTAGGCTATTTTTGTGACAAAGTTTGGTTCTTCAAGTGGAGTTGTTTGAGGGGCATGGTTTGGTCCAGTTAAAGGAAAAACAACTGAGTATCTTTGAAAAAAATCTCAAATATGACAATTTTTTGTGCTTTTCCCCTGAATTTTATATTTGAGAAAATAAGATTGACTCTCAAAGAATGTGATATCCATGAAATTGTATATTATTTTAGTGGTTGAAAATTAGTATTTGTACTCTTTTTGATTGAATGAGTAATCAAGGAAAATGCATTTGAGAGAATTGTGATCAAGTTTGGTGTGGTGTTGTTGATGGATGTGAATAAAGACAATACATCAGAAAACTTTCAATGGTAACTCCAAAAAAAAGAGCGGATGTGTGGGTGAGAATCCATGAGAATATTACAGAGAATTTGAAAAATATAGAATTCGCTTAGGCATCCTATTAATGAGATATATCGTTGTAAGAATGACTTCTCCTAAAAAATATTTAGGCATATGATTAGACAACATAATGACACGGGCTATCTCAAGTAGGTGTCTATTTTTTCTTTCAAAGACCTCATTTTATTGAGTATTAAGGGGGCGTAAACGACCCGAACACGAGCGAGCCTAGACTCAGTGCTTGTTAGGCTCATTAAAAAATATCACTATTTGTATTCAACTCGTTTTTATTTCAAACAAAATAAAATGTGTCCGTGTTCGGCTCGTTTGTTTAGCGAGCCGAACACGAGTTGTTCGAGAACAAAGAGTCTTTTTGACAACTCTAGTCACATAGCCGTAGGTTGTTAAGGGTTAAGACAATGTATATATCTTATTTTTAATATTAAAACATCGTTTAAATATAATTTAATATATTTTTATTCTATTTTTTAAATTAATAATTTTAATTGATTATAAATCTTTGTAGCCTTATAGTCAATTAATTTTTTTAAAAATACCACTCATCATTTATATATATATATATATATATATATATATATATATTAA